CATGATATATATACATGCTGTATGCATACATGATATATATACATGCTGTATGCATACATGATATATATACATGCTGTACTCACACATGATATATATACATGCTGTACTCATACATGATATATATACATGCTGTACTCACACATGATATATATACATGCTGTACTCATACATGATATACACACAGGCATAGCACACCACACACATACACACACAGAGACATACACAAATGCACATCATACAAATATATTGCACTTAGTATGAGCATGTTATTGGGGGATAAGCAAAGAGCTCCTCCTCTCAACAACAGGAACTGTGGCAGCTCTGGCCCTGCTGTTTCCAGTGGATTAATTTGGGTACTGGGGGGAGGAAATGACACCAGCCTTAGGGAGGAAACCCAGAACAGGCTTCAGCGGGTAGTTATGAATTTCTTTCCCCAAGCTCATCTGTGGAGCAGCACAAAGCACTGGTCTGGGTGTGTGCTGTTCTTATGTGAAACTAGAGTCCAGGAGATCCAGCCTACTGCAGCCTGAGCTGCGTGGGTCGGAATAGGAGCTGAAGCCAAGAGCTGGCCCTCCAGGAGGAACCAGATGCTGTGCCTAAGCTTCCCCTCTGTCCGATGGCAGCTTTGACAAAGGTGAGTCCACAAACCCTGACGTATCTGAGCTGAAGGGGGGATTATTTTTAGTGTTCTACCTCCTAGACTAGAGAGGTTAGGACTCAGGCTTCAGATTCCCACTGAGAAGAAAACTAGAGGCAACAAATCACACAGCCTGTTTCCCAGCTATCTAGTGGTGCCACGGCAGGGTGACTACAGAAGGGGCATTAACTGGTCAAACCCCGCCTCCAGGGACAGCTGTTCCTAAGAACAGACCAGCTTTGTCTGGGCTCAGAAGCTAACCCAGCACATATGTATTAATGTATTAATATGCATTAATATGCCAATTTAACACTCCCGTGTGACATTTCCTGATTTCTAAGTGTGGTGCTCAAGTCCTTTAGATGAGGCATTTTCTCCCCAAGTTTTATGTTAGCCTCTGGATTCCAACACAGTACCCAGGTTCCCAATTTCAAGCAGTGTGTGACAGGACCACACTTTTCCTCCCTCCTGACCCTCCCAATGCGTCTTTTCATTCATCAGGGTTCGGCCCAGAGGCCCAGCTCTCTGGGGACCATTCCCAAGAGCTCCGCTCACACCAACTCCTTCCATCGTGGACATTAATGTTCTAGAAACTTCTTTCTGGCTACAGTGCACACAACGCCTTCCTCTGGTCCTCCACTGGCTGGCACATGGCATTGCTCTCAACTACACAAAGTCAGCAGGGGAAAGGGTTGGGGACTCACAGCTCTCTTTGCTCCTGCCAGCCCTCTCTCTGACTAAGGTCCTTAGTCTTATTTACCTGGTTCTTGAACTCTCCCTCCAAGAAATAGCCTCTTCTTAGTTTCTGAAAAGTCACCCCTAAATCTCCATCCCTCTTCCTGGTTCCCTCCTTTACCCAACTATTAAGTACCGGTGTGTCCCAGACTTGGCGTAGGCTTACTAGTCTCATCACACCTCCCCTCCTCTCTTCTTCCCCCTCCCCCTTCTCCCTTTCCCCCATCTCTGTCTCAAACATCACCATGCATACAAAATACCATTTATTTGCTCCTAAGCTTTTAGTTTTTTAGAGTGGACCTTTTTTCTGAGCCATACCTAGCAAGGTTAAGTCAATCACTGTTTTCTGGTACTGTGAGAAAAGGTTAATGTTTCACACAGAACACTTTGCTACTGACAGAGGTAAGCTCTATTCCACGGTCTTACCATGTCTCGAATCTAAAAGATCTGCCACTGAGATGACCTCCTGATGAGAAGCCAGGGAAGACACATGTCCATTATAGACGAAGCTGACGAGACAGACTCCACCGTGCCCAGTGGTCAGAGCACCATCCAGTGAAACATGAAGGCAGACACAGAACAAGGAGCTGGGACAAGGAGATCATGTTACACTTGGCCCAGAGTTCTCCACTATTTGACAATCTGTCCCCCACATAAAACACTAAATTTAATAAATGAGGGACCAAGTAGGCCGTGCATATGTGGGTTCAGTCTTGGAAGGTCTCTGTTCCCAGCACGCTTCTGTCCAGTAGCACCTGATCTCTTGCTGCTGCAATGGAACTTGAGAGGAAGAACGGTAGACTAGCTGCCACAGAAGACGACATTGTTCTATCGCTGGAAACCATGAAAAGGCAGAAGGAGAGAGCCAGCTCCACAAAGTTGTCCTCTGACAGCCACACAAGCACGTTCCCCACCCCCAATGATATTAAATAAATTATTTTAAAATTCCAGTTGTACGCATTTGGAATGTCAAAGGAAAACAGATGCTCGACTAAACCGTAAGAGACAAGGGAGTGAGAGGGAGACTCTAGACAATGAAAGAAGAACAAGAATAGAATTATTAACTATGCCCAGGCTAACCCAGGCACTGGGATAAACAATGGGACCTAAGTTGTCATCGAATGCTGGCTGCTCAAGCACAGAGGTCTCAACAGCCAGGAGCACTATGGTAGCTAACATGGGTGGTCAACTGAACAACAGAATCCCCTAGCAGACAAACCTCCAGGCACGTCGTGAGGGAGTTTCTACTGGGTTAACTGAGGTGAGAGGACTCATACTGTGTGTGGAAGCATCACCTCACAGACTGGGATAAAGGAGAAATGAAAGAAATGGCTCTCTTCTCAGCTTCCAGGCAGCCGAAGCAATGACCAGCTGTCTCATGCCCCGCTGAGGGCCATGAGACAAAATCAACCTTCCTCCCTCAAGTTGCTTTTCTCACAACGAGAAAATTAATCCAAACACCACCCAGGCTTCCAGGACAAAAGACAACTGATGTTTAGAAAAGCTTTATAAATTATATTAACAAATAGCAAATTTAATATAGTTGTATAAGAGAATCATTTCACAAAAATGCATCTGAAGCTATTATGCACCTAGGTGCCTGAACTGTGGGTGTAACATCAAATGTGGTAAGAACATGAGGGTTTTGGGGTCAGAACCCTACAAAGTGGAAAATTCTGTGTTCAAGAGAATCTGGTGAGTGAGTTTTCCTCTTTGGTTTATTTCACCCAATTCAATCAGCAATAGGTCACATAGAAGAGTCGGGTTACTCCCTTAGTAGTTGTGACTCAGAGCCCACAGGGCATCGCTTCACATTCTGCTCAAGGTTAATATGAGAGCTTCTTGAAGGAACATGGACACAGAGTACCGGAGGCTGAGCAGGAAAGAACCTCTGGGTTCCATGGGTGATCTCTAGGCTTCCAGGCTTTGGAGATGAGCACTCAGGCTTGAGAATGAAGGTGTCCTTAAGACATGGCCTTGCGTGACATTCTGCATGATGTTGCCATAGCCTTCACTATTTTCCAGAGACTGCATAGATATTTCTTGGCTTCTGGATGCTGAGTAGCATTTTTGAATACAATCTTTATCTTTTATTTAACATTTATTTTATTTTATTTTTATTTTTTGTTTTCCAAGACAGGGTTTCTCTGTAGCGTTGGCACCTGCCCTGGAACTAGCTCTTGTAGACCGAGCTGGCCTCGAACTCACGGAGATCCACCTGCCTCTGCCTCCCAAGTGCTGGGATTAAAGGCATGCCTCACCACCTCCCAACTTAACATTTATTTAATGTTGATGTGTCTATGTGCGTGTCTCTGTGTAGGCCTGTACATGAGTGAAGTACCCTCAGAAACCAGAAGATGGCGCCAGACCCCCTGTGGAGCTGAAGTTCCAGAGTGCTGTTAGACTTGGTGTGGGTGCTGGGAACCAAACACAGAAGAACAAGAGCTCTCACCACTGAGCCATCTCTCCAGCCCCCAAATGCTCATCTGTAAACACGCATGCGCATACGCGCTGCTTTGCTGTGTGCTCTCTGTCGGTTTTCCCTGAGATAACTGCCCTTCGGCGTGCGCCTGTCTTTCTTGAGACACGCATCAACGCCTTCATTCAGTGATGTTTAAGATGTATTTGCTTTAGTCTCACGCACTGTGCAGAGTTTATCCACATTAATCATCTTTCCCCATCGGAGTCTCTTGTATTTACAGCCTGCCACGAGAGCAGACACTGACACATTTCCTTTCGGGCCATTCTCTGGGTCGGCAGAACACTGTGCGTACTCAGAAACACCGATTTCCTACGAGATTTGCATGTATCAACTGCCACAGTGACAAGGCAAAATATACGTGTGACGCTTAAAACATCTACGGAGGGAAGTATTCGATTAACCCCCAGTCATACCTAAAGGAACAGAGTGCGGCTCTACCCGTCAGCTCTCTGCTAGGCTGGCACCAATGGTATCTATCAGAAATGAGAATACCAGCATCACCCAGGGCTGGCAAGGGCAACTGGGAGGGTGAGGAGCTGACACCTTGTCTACAGGGTGGCAAGAGCTGGTATGCAGTGTGCAGGGTTGAGCACTAAACATGAGGAACCCGTAACCTGACAGTTCTACTCAGAACTCATCCTGATTATGAGAGCCACATCAATTATGTTTTATAATGAAATGGTTAGTAATAGAGCAATTACACAAACCATGGAGAAGCCACCTTAGGGCTCTACACAGGTCTGCTGGCGTGGAGGGGCGGTTGAAACACCGCTATGACACTCGCTCTAAGTGGCTCTGCTGAGAACATGCTTAGAAGAATGAGCTTCAATGAGAAATTTATTAGTTATGTACTCCTCTGGATTTTGTAATTTTTCTATAATAAATGCCTAGGCTTTTATAGTTACTGAATCCATCTGTCTATCCATTCATCTATCAACCCAACCGACCAGCCATTCATGTAAACAATGATTTCGAAGCCTCCCAACCCCTACCCCCAGCCATGCTTCCTAGAGACACATAGACTTTGCAGTTGCCTGGTAAGAACTGCTCATATCTGAGTGAATTTGGTGACCATCATCCCTCCCAAACCAGTCTCCTCTTGCTCTGCTCTCCCTTACCACGCAGACAATGATAGATCTTGCTCACCAAGGTCTCCAGGACACAGCGCCTCTCCAGCAGCCTCTGGACTCCGCTCTCCACGATGACTCCCAGCCAGTTGAGCGCTGCCCAGCACCAGAGGTCTTCATAGCTGCCGTGCCAGTAGCTCACAAATGCAAAGGTCACAGCGGTAGAAAGCAGCGTTCCCAGCAGGCCACGCTGGGACCCGCCCAGTGGAATGTACACATACCTGGAGAGAGAAGAGGCTGTGAGGAGCCATGCTGAGGGATGGAGGGACGGACGTACTTGCCTCCCCTGCTCTGGTTTGACTCTTGGATACCCGCATTACTGCTTAAGGTACACAGATCCCACTTCCAGGAAGCTGTAGGCCAAGCTTGAGCTCTCCACCTCACTCATCACTGGCCACACCCCAAACTCGCACAGGGTGTGGCTTTAGGTCGGATGAACAGACACACACCAAAGAGCCCTTACAGTGGCAAAATCACTTACAAGAGGCAAAGGGGCAGCAGTGAGTTTAGAGCTGATGAAGGGATGCACCCAGCCTGGGAGCCCATCATGGGGTACCTACCTAGCTACTGATGTGGGGAGGACACTGACCGTCGTGGCAAGTGTGCATTTCACAGCTCAGACTACTAAGTTTATGGTAAAGCCATATTTAAAAAGCTGGTGAAACCATTATTTATACAAAGTGGCTAAAAGGAGGCCCTCACGAGGTAGGAGTGGGGTGTATAAGAAGGGTAAAAGGGCTGGTCCCAGATTCCCAGGCAAACGACCCAGAGGCAAATAGAGAGAGAAGCTCTGGACCAATGCCCCAGGGCATAGCATCCTCAGATACATCTCCAGGCCTGAGTGACGAGTGCCCACATATGAGAACATGGATTGCGGGAGCTCACCCTCCTCTGCGGTTTCCAAGAGACCACAGGACTCAGTTTATTCTGGTCATTTCCTGTTTTTCCCAGTCCCCCCCCCCCGCCGGGAGGGGACAAGAGGTCTTCCTGATGTCTTCTGAGACACTTTGCAAGGGTCTTTCCCCCTTGACACACCACACATCCCACCTGCCATCCCAAAATCCTGTTGGTTTAGATCTGTACTGCTCATGCGCTACTTCCTTACTGCGGAAGAAGCTTTATTTAAAAGCTTCATTTCTAATAGCAATACTTCTCAGAAGAAGACAACAGTAAATAAAGCCAATCAGACCAAAAGATGGATGTCAAAAAGAACTATGTAGGTGTTTTATTTGAAACAATTTAAACAATGCATAGAATGATGCATATTACTAAGACACTGTGGTGGTCAATAGATGTGTGCATTCGATGTTATTGGCTCCTCAAACTTTTTTTTCCCAGAATTCTGAGGCTAGAATTCAGAACCTTGTGCATGCTGGGAAAGGGCTCCACCATATCCCCAGGCTCCTTACACACACACACACACACACACACACACACACACTACTGTCCTCAGTCGGCACTGTCAATTCCCATAGAAACCTGGCGCAGGTGTCACCCAATACCTGTGGCTCCCCGAGTACCTCTCACCCCAACCCCTACCCTAAACCCTAAGCCCTCCCAGGGGCTTTGCTTCTCTTCCCCCAGCTCTGGATTCCTATATAACTCAGTTGGTTTGGCCCCGTGCCTTATGGGTCCCCATGTGCTCTCTTGGTCCTGGCCTCTTCGCCTCTCTTCTCTGCCCCCACTCTCCTCCTCTCATGGAGGTCTGTTCTACTGCCCATGTTAAGTCTGGACCCTTCTAGACACCTCTGGCCGTTCTCTCCCTCATATCTACAGTAAAACCCTTCTCAGCCACATCTTGGAGCGGCCACGCTCTCATTTCACACAGTCACCTCACCATGAACCAGGAAGCTTGCACTTCTTGTCCTAGCTGTGACGGGGTTGACTTTCGGCACTGCCTGAAAGTGAGTTCTAGGACCCTGCCACTAACTGTATGCCCAGGTCCTTCTCCGCAGACTCTCACCTTGACACAGCTTTATCGGGTTCCTCTAAGTCCCCACACCTTGGTTTGGTGTCCATGTTTGTCCGGCCTGCACCACCCAATGGTATCAAGAATCCTGCTAGGTCAGTTTAGGGAATGGCCCTCCCCATCCCAACCGATCCTTTTTCCCTTCCTCGACCACCTTAGTCCACCCAGCCTCCTTCCAGATAGAACCCCATTAGGCTGGAGACCAGGGTGGTGGCTCAGTAGTCAAAGCACTTTCAGTGCAAACACAAGAATCCGAGCTCAATTCTCAAACACTCTCTCTCCACCAAAAGTGTGATTTCAATATAATTCCGGGGCCAGGGAAGCAGAGAAGGGAGGTCCTGTGACTTGCTGCTCTCCTCTGTTTGATAAGCTTAGGCCAGTGAGACACCAGTCTCTAAAAACAGATTGACAGCACCTGGGAAATGACACTGAAGTTGTCCTCTGGCCTCTACATGTGTACACACATGTCTACATATCTGCACACACGTGTTCCTACACATGGACTACACAAAGAATCCCACCGGGTCTCCCTAAATCCCAGTGCTTCACTCAGTGGTCCCATGTGCTCTGAGGTCTGCGTCTCTTACCCTCATGCTCACCACTGAGTCCAGTGCCACTCTGAGCCTTCCTCCACCCCCACATCACAGCCATTGCTGCACGAAACCGCACTCAGCAGCTCCGTGTCCATCACCCCCTTCCTGTAATGTCTGTCACTCCCAAATGCCTTCCTAGTTTGGATGATAAATCATACAGTCAACCTTAGTCAACCCCATTTTATGAGTAAGAAAACAGAGGCTGTGAAGTTAATTCGACCATCAAAGAGAAAAGTGAGGCACAGCCTACACCAGCACCTCCAAAGCGTGTCTCTTTCTTTCAAGGCACAATCTCTATCAGGGCCACCAAAGCTAAGGTCTTCCTTGCACCTCTTATTCCAAACTTCTTTTCTCTCTAGTCAGAAAGAATGCTGAAGTCATGAGACAATGGAGCCATCCCAGCAACCAAATTAGTAACTTTGTGTCTAGACGTTAAGTGTCTATATATTAAGGCATGTTTCTGAAGGGGCTGAAGATGACTCAACTGTGGGCATAATTATTCAACCCCTAAACTTAAAAAAAAAAGAAAGAAAGAAAACTAAAATAAAATCTAAGACAGGTGGATCACTAGAAAGTTCTCCTGGACTAATAGGTAACCTCCTGGACTAATAGGTAACCTCCTGGACTAATAGGTAACCTCCTGGACTAATGGGTAACCTCCTGGACTAATGGGTAACCTCCTGGACTAATAGGTAACCTCCTGGACTAACAGGTTACCTCCTGGACTAACAGGTTACCTCCTGGGAAAAGGAAGATCATGCCTTAAAAGCAACCAATAACAAAAACGTGGCTGGCAACAACATCCAAGGCCATCCTCTGGCTTGTACACACCTGTGCATGCACACACACACACCTGCATATGCATGCACAGATAATCCCATTAACATATGTGCATACACACACCTGCACATACATGCACAATCAATCCTGTTCGTACATGTTCATATGCACACATATACCTGCACACACACGCACAGATAATCCTGCACGCCCATGTGTGCACACACACACACCTGCACATGCATGCACAGATAATCTTGTACACACATGAGCATGTACACACAGGGAGTGCTCCTTCTGCTTCCAATATTTACTTATTAAGCCTCCCAGGCATCCCAGGCATTATAAGACACAAAGACCTAGGGTGTTCTTGCCATGACATGGGCATGCCTGGCTGTGAGGCAACAGCAGGTCCTGCTGTAAGGCTAGATGCCATGGTGCCAGGTACTTCAGGAAGGCTTCACCGTGTGGGAGAGTCGGGTGTGGGGAAAGACCAGTGGAGTGCAGTAACTGGACCACGGAGTGTCCTGCTTTGGTGAGGAATCAAGGAAGACTTTCTCCTAAGCCGAGGGGAGGCTGGGTGCTGCTGGAGAGACACCTAGGAGGAGGGGGCAGTGAGCCTGAGGACACCTGCAGGAGCACAGGTCTTACTTGGAGCTCTGCTGCCCCCTAGAGGCTGCTTGCTTATCAGTGTGTAATAGGGACAGGATATGGGCTGGAATCTAGGCAGTTTGACTGTAGCTAAAGGAAACATTGCAGTATCTACAAACCTGTTTACATATCAAGACTGTATGCACTAAAGAAAAATAAGCCTAAAATGCCAGAAAACCCAGTACAGAATAAAAGCCTGTCATGCCTTCCACCAGTGAGACTTGGTATTGGGGCAAACCCGAAGGGACATGCCTGCAAACTTGGGGTGCTGAGGTGGCAACTCCTTCCCCACGTGTGGCTATTTTAAACCATACAATCTTACTCTGCCTTTGAAAATGACAAATTACCAAAAACAGTCTCTGAAAATTCTTTATATTCCAGGAATTCAGATAGTGTGGGTCCCCAAGGACACAAAACTTTTTTGTTCCAAACCAGAAGGGGGGGGTTAGAATATTCACACTTCATTTCCAGAAGACAGTGGGTTTGGCAAAAGAGGGAATGGGGCACTCTCTTTAATACTTTCAACCAGCCAGGCTCTGTGATCAATGAGAGGCACGCACCACCCAGATGAGCTGCACAGCTGCTGAACCCCCAGTGGAAGGCACACTCAGCACAGCAGAAACACCGAGGGTGGGGGCATAATGCCTGATGCTGCTTGGCCAGGCTTCAGGGAACGCTGACACGGGTCGGCACCTCTGCAGGTGCCACCCTCATGCAAAAACATCTCACAGAATTAACACAACGTGGATGCCCCAACCAGCAGAAGCTACCCACAACAGGTAGACAGCAGTCATAATGCTTGCCCTGACCGGGTGCCCATGCCAGAAGCTTTCTGCATACTGCAGACAGTTACTAAGACGAGTTTCAGGGAGACAATGACAAGCTTGTCTTGCTGCTGAGAGGTCCAGGTGAAGCCTGGTTGTTTTCATCACCATCATCACAGTAAGAGTCGTCCTCAGTGGCAGATGTCCCCCTTATTTAATCAGGTGTGCAGATTATGATCTGTAGATGTATCTACTGGCCTTTTTTGAGACATGGCCTCTCACTGTAGCCCCAGCAGGCCTCAAACTCCCAGCAATCTTCCTGCCTCAATCTCCCCAGTGCTGGGATTACAGGTATATGACACCATGCAACTGTCTTTTATTAACTAAAAACTAGTCTTGCTGGGGAAAAATATTCTCCTTTATAAAGATGAGTGTTGTGGAAATTCATTCAGCTGATAGCCTTT